TTATTATGTGATTTTTTTTTAAATCTAGAAGTGCATTATTGAAAAACCATCAACCCCCTCCCCCTGGACACAAGTACACCTTTCCCGTCCTATAATCATAAGCAATGCTATCAGAAAATGATTATTCTAAATTGATATTATTTTAAATGAATCAAGAAGTGTGTAGGATACCTGGTTAACATCACGCAAATTGAATGTTACCGGTTTTAATCGACAATCAATGTTTTGACACAGTCCCCACATGTAAAGTCTAATTTGTCAACCTCAGCGTCGAGTATATACCTTTTCGTAACACGTCTAGTGGTCAGAAATTCGAAGATGAATAACAAGTCAAAATTTTTTTTTTTTTTAAATCTTATTACCAACAAATAAACGGGACAAGAAACTGGACAACGAATACGAATTTTAACTGCAAAACCTTGAAAGTTTATATGAGACATACTATTTTATTTTTTTCCCACAATTTATGACTTTAAAACACAAAGTTAAAATTTCTAAAACAGGTAAATGTTTTGGTGTTTGTCCAGTGGCGGATTTACCGGGAGGCACAGTGGGCACGTGCTCCCAGTCCATGTCACCAACAAAGTTTCTAACATAATTTTATTGCTATTGAATTCTGCTTATCTAAAGTGGAAATAATCACAGCTTGATTTGACTTCTTAACTGGCCGTTTATTAACCCCAGCTTCAACATGCGTGATTTATGACCACTTATCGGTGGGTGTGTAAATATTGCCAGCTGTGTGTAATGTCTCTTTTCTAAAAATTAGATGTAAACTATATACAGGTACATGTTGATTGGAAAAGTACGAATATTTTTATTGGTTTTTGATACAATATCACAGATTAAGATCGATTAACAGGTGAAGGAATCTTCTGATCAGGAAAGAAATTACTAACCAAAATCTGTGTTTTAAACAAATATGTACAAATAAATGTTTAGTGTCAAGAATGTGAGTATCGATATATGGGATATGTCTTCATAACAAAATTCTCACATTACTATTTTAAATTGTGATTTTTCCTTCTTCAAAACTGTCTTTTTAGTGACTTTATTCAACAACAAACTTTTTTTTCAAACAAGATTTTTTTAAACTGAATTTCGTATTTTCTTTTCACTCCTATTTTCAAAGAAAACCAACAATTTGTTTTAAAAAAACTGCCCCTTCCTCTTTCCATAAAAAAATGAGTGTCATTGTCTAATATATAATCATTAATATTAATATTAACCGCAATTGTAGATTCAAGATTCAATATTTTATTAAAGTCTCACCACTTGTATAACATTATACATTCCAATATACATATAAAACATTGCGTATAACATAAAATATTGAAAAACATATATAAAACATATAGTATATTAAAACTAACAGTAAAATATCATTAGCTTAAATACTAAAACATATACAAGCGCCATTCTATTAAGAATTATGAGAGACTATTAAATGATTAATTATATAAAATATTTAACATAATTTTAAAACTATATATATCATTGTATGTTATAAAACATAATCTGGAACTAATACCGTAACGTTTATCCATTAGTCCAAGCATGGAAGTAATATTGAAAGGCATAACAACGTCGTCACTTCAAAGGTTTCATCTGCGTTACCGCCCATCTTTCGATAACTCGTTAATTGGTTTAATATATGGCATGGTAATTGACTCTCGGAATGTGATAGATCAAATCACTGACACTTTTCGGTCATTGTCGTGTTCCCGGAAAATTACGAATAGACCTGTTGTTGTCGTATATACGCACGAAGTAACCCGAAATGTTCACTCGTTACATTCCGCTGCTGTACGCTACCGAATAGAGTCAGTCGTTCAATGTTGATTTTAGTTTATTTTTCCTATTTATGTCTTTTTCGATCTTAATAGTTTAGGCCGACAGTTATCACATATGGAATTTAAGAAAAAGGGTGGATCATTTTCAATTTTAATATTTAAAACCAGTTAATTAAGAAGCCATTTCTGAAAGTTAAGAAGATGATTTAACAAAAAATATGTTTCGACCCCCTTTTATTAAATACGAATAATCCAAGTCTTTCGTGTATACCAGGCAATTTAAATATTCACAATTTTAAACGTTTCTATTCTTTAATTTGTACATAAACTAATTCATATAAAATAAATTTGCGGTTAGACAGATAGCGTCAAGCTCATTTTGTTTGGTTGATTTTCTTTTTGCTGTAACGTGCTACATTAATATTAGTATTCAATTGTAAACACTTTTTTTAAAATATATATAAATTTAACATGTTTACGAACTTATCATCCCGATTTTAATTGTCCAGTTTCAATAATGTAATCAATTACTTGAAAGTAAATATTTTTATAAATCTCGATAAACTTGGCACATTTCAACAGTAAAATATTCTATAGATATAAGAAGATGTGGTATGAGTGCCAATGAGACAACTCTCCATCCAAGTCAAAATTTAAACCATTATAGGTCAAAGCACGGTGTCTACATTTGTATGTCTACATTTGTCTACTTTATTTTGTTCAACATCATGTGAAACCTGATCGCTTCATCGTTATTACTTCACTGAAAAAAATAGCTTGTAAAATTTACTATTAAAGGTAGTAAATTTTACTGTCCATTCAAACACCAGTGGGTTAGTCGATTTACTATCTGAAGTAGTAAATTTCTACTAGTAGGTCTAGTGTTTGTTACTGCCTATGTCAGTTATCATTTACTAACCAACAAGTAATAATAACAAGATAACACTATGAGATTAACTATCATGACTAGTTAAATTTACTAGAAGGTTCGGTATATATTACTACTGAATGCATTATTTTTACTGAAGCAATTTCACAATTAACTGGTATAATTAGTGAATCTTACTGTTTTTTTAGTATAAAGATTATTGCTCAGCTGTTTAATCATACTGTTCACTATTATCAATCCAACTTATTTCCTTACGCACATCTTTATAGGTAGTGCTCAACAATTGTGTAGTTTCATCAGTTTAGTTCAAGCATTTTGGAGCTTTCCTTGCAATGAACATGGACAGACAGACTGTGTGATTTCTACAATGTATATACCCCTAAAACTTTGATGCAATGTTCATCTAGCTGTTTTGGAGTAGTTGTAATAGCAAGGCACATTAAACAGTTCGGTTCCTATATACCTCTAAAACATTGTTACAGGTGTGTAACCTTTACTGGAAATGATTTCATGATAGACCCTTGAAAAGAAGACCAAGCTGAAATATTGATTTTAATTTTGCTACCCCAATACTAAAGATATGCTATATCATGACAATTTCTGTTATATTTTACAGTTTTTGATAGTCATACAAGGCAGTAAGACAACAAAAAAATCAATTGGTATACATTTATTTATGTTTAAGGACATCAGTCAAGTTAAACATTACACACTGAGAAAGGCATGCATAGAAATATTCCAGGTTTAAACATTTTATTAACATTTATCTACACTAATAAACAGGCACATCAAGTTCATTGAATAAAAACGATTACCTATATAATATGCCTATGGTTTTGAATAAAAAAAAATCTAACCTGTATCCTTTAATTTATGTGTAGCAGCACTTTCCATACAGAAGTGTGACATCTCAGAGGCGCATTTAGGGGGGGGGGGGCCCTTTTGTGGGAAAAATTTGGTTGATTATATAGGGAATCACTGAAGCATGACTGGAGTGGGCCCCCTCTTAGGCAGTCAGTGGGCCCCCACTTATGAAAATATCTGGATCCGCCACTGGATCTAGACAACACTGATAACTGCTCATAACTCAAGCACTTGCGTTAATGAATTTTTCAGTATTTTAAACATGTTGGGGTATTCAAAATTTAAGTTGAGATATACTATAATTCCATTATAAGTCACTTGATAAAAAGAGAAAGGTAAAAATAAACACCCACACCCTTTCTTCTAAAAGAGCTTGTGACAAACTTTCTTTGGGATGGCCTTTGTATTTGCTAAACCTATAAACCTTAACTATATACATAAAGCTAGACAGAAACATCTATTCAATTTTACACTATTTTCTTTAAAAAAAATGAATCGCTACAAATTCTCATAATTATGATATAATCTATTAATAAGCAAGACACATGCAGGATACCCAGAAAAACAGTAAAAATATCTTATCAATGACAAACTTAAAAAAAAGATATATGCATTTCTATATTGTAAACAGTTTCAGTGCTACGAACATTACAGAATTTACATTTAACAGTAAATAAAAAAAAAAAACATTATGGGCCAGGCTGGTATCAATGACAAATTATCTAAATTTGACTTTCATGACTAATCATAAACAATTTCAGAACAATTGTTATTCAATATGTATACAAAATACTACAAGTTGAATCTAATATTATAACTGTATGTATAATTCTAAAAAAAAATAATTAAAAAATACAAAATACAAAAATATTGGCACTAGTTATTCTTTTTAAAATGTGAACTACATGTATATCGAATGAGGTAATTAAAAACTGCTCAACACCATTTCTTGACATAAAAAAAAGATTCTAACAATGTAACAAAAACTACACTAACAACTAATTACATCTACACTAATAACTGATAACTGCTACACCAATAACCGATAAAGTAAAAAAAGGAGGAAATACATAATGATCCTCTTATTAGTATCAAAACCTCATCAATAGCTATAGGAAATACACTATCCTACTCTCAGCGATATTTAACCATTATCGAAAGATATGTATTAGAATTCATATTTTTTTGGCAATTCTAAAAACTTATTCATTATTATCTTTATCTCAAAAGCTCACCCAGCCTTTTCCAATAGTGGTAGGATCATTACACCTAACCGAAAGGATGGCATAAGGATAACTTTTACCTACTGTTCTTTAAATCTATCTGTTTGTTTCATTTTGTTTTAATTCTAAATTTTATAATCCAGATTCAAGCTTCAATATTTTGCAATTGATTACAAAAATGTCAAATAGAATTGAAGAAAAAAACACTATTATTAACCAATTATTAACCAATGCAAGTGTGACTTTTGTGATATTACATCAGAAAAATGAGGTAGACAACAGATGATCCTTTGATTCAGACAGCTTTACAGTATCTCATAAAATTCAAATACTAATTTAATGTTTTAGTTTTCTCTCTGTTTAATTCTGTTATTACTGATAAAATCTTCTTATCAACCTTCCCACCATCATTTAAACTCATGATACAATTTTGTATAAACAACAATGATTTTTCAATAGGTTTTGGATAGACTAAATTGAAACAATAAATTGAAGCTATCAATCCAGTAATTAATTCAAGAAAAGTGTCACATCTGAATATCACATCCCCATCTACCTTCAGTTCAAATAGGTCATTCCCCATACTTAAAATTCTGTCTTTGATTATCAGAAGAAATGGTTCTTCTGTTTCTTCGGAATCACTGAAGTACAGCACCTGATTGAACTTCTCCTTCAAAAGCAATGCAATTCCTAAGATGGCTGCGCACTGACTTGTGTCTGAAACAACAAATATAACATCATACAGTTGTATTATACAAAAATACACTCATTCTGTACTATATATATATATATGAATGATATATGGTCAATGTCAGAAAAATATAAACTTTTTTGTATGAGGCTGAAAAACTGGGGAAGGGCGAAGTTTTATCGAGCATTGCCAGTTTTGTTCCGAAATACAGAATTGTTAACCTCTCTTGATTTTTGCTGCGGTGAATTTAACGTTTTATCAAAAAGGATTTCTTTTAGTTAATGAGAAAACAGAAAATTCAGTCATTTAATAATAAATATTAAAATTAATATAAAAACTATCTTTCATATACCACAGTACATGTAATATTAATTCTATATCATCTATTCAATAGTCAGATTATACATGTATATGCCTTATATAATTTTATATTATTATAAAAATCTCATTTCTAGTGTTTTTGTTTTGATAGATCTATTGATGGCTGTTAAATTAAATGCATATTCAGGATGAGAACATGATAATGTGATATGAATATAAACTTTGGTTTTTTCTAGACTGACACACTGAGTCCTTTTTTTAACATGCTAGTCCACAATTTAAGGGATCAGTTCAAAGGAAGCTAGATTAAACATACCAAAGACAAAAAGATTTTTAAAAAATACTATAGTTGTACCAACAAATTATGTTTCAACTAGAGAAACACTATAATAAAATAATAAACTTACATTTTCTCTGGTCATCAGATCTTTGTACAGCTATTAAATCATAAATTTCTTTTTCAAATTTATGCAGCTTCTTCCCTTTGGATAACTTCACTATGACTTCTCTGTACGAATCCAAACCATCAAAAAAGAGGTCTTCCAATTCTTTTTTTTCTGTATTAGGTCCTAGTCTGGCAAATTCTTGAAGTAACTGTAATTAAGGCAGACAATATAAATAAATATATACAGTACATACATGATATATTGTGTCTAAAAATAGCAATGAATTTCTTAAAATTCCATCACGGATTGTCAAAGTTATGGTTGTCTTAAAAACTTTTTATACATAAATGTTGAGAGAAAATAAAAAAAAATTAATACCAAAACAAAAAAAAAGGAAATAACTCAAAATCAAGATTTCAGAACATTACTCCGTGTTTTGATCATTACAATAAAGTTCTGAAAAACATAATACCTGTCTTCTGTCTTGTAAAAATGGATATTCTTTAATAATTTCTGATAAACTATTTCCATCTTGAACTATATCTTTTCTTCTGTCAGGAAATGTCAGGCCCATTTTCAAGTCAACCAGTCTAAAATCTTGGTCAACTTTTCTGTACTCCTGCTTTAGCCAAGTTTTGTGCAATTTTATGGATTCCAAATCTTCCGAATCTGGCCTCATCGGCAAATAATTCGACATTCCCCATGTCAAATTTTTCTTGGCTTTTGGAATATCATCTTTCAACTCGGTCGTTACCTTCCTCTTCTTTGCCTTTACTTCTGGGAGATTTTTATCTTTTGATTTTCTTTCATTCTGCCATTTATATTTTAATTTCTCTCTCCAATAGACCTTTAAAAGTAGATAGTAATTCTAAATTTAACGTCACATCAAGAAAGGGGATATATTTTTTTTTATTTCACAGTATTTTAGGTTTACTACAAACATACAAGATTACATTGTGAAAACTTATGTAAAGAAATCACAAGAAAAATTGAAAAATCTACTTGGTGGATATCATACATTCAGGCTACACTCTAATATCATATATTCTTGAAGTAGATTACTAGTAAAAACATAAACAATGAGAATATCCATTGAACATGTAAAATTTTTTCCAAATAAACTTTTCTTCTTTCTTTTTGACAATTGAAAACTTTCTAAGTCTTGAATATATTATTCTTTTGCATTTCCGAATTCATGAGATATATATCATAGTATATGAAAAGCAATTTCTTTCAAACTTACTCTAACAGACTGAAGAGGTATTCCACTTTCTTGCATAAGCATGGGAAATTCCCTAAGAATCCCGTCCACTATCTGGTCATACATGTCTGATGAGGGGTAGCTGAAAAAAATAATTCACATATCATTGCAAGTACATATTTTTCCCAGATTTTATTCCTATGACAAATTGAAACCCACCCAAAAATTGTGATAAAGTTTCTCAACCCAAGAATTTGGATCTGTTGATTTAAGGAAGTTGGTCTATAACCAGGAAACCTGTGTATAATGTAAATTTTGTGTTTCAGAATTTATCCTTCCTTAAAAAAATACTAGTAGTATTAAAGAAAAATTCCAGACAATAATGTAAGACTTAGACACATGTTTTTTTTATTACCTGTTATTATTGGAGAGTTGTCTCATTGCCAATCATACATGAACCACATATAATATTCATTTTAAAAAGAAAACATCGTTTATTCTACATGTTATTACTTACAGACCACCTTCAAACTGCGTTACATTGTTATAAATTGTATCCAGCAGTCGACTTCTGTCTGATTTTTCAAGAGGTTCTTTTCTTTCTATTTTGATATATAATGCCCTAGGTGCACTGGCAGATGGAAAGTGGTAAATTCTAGGCCATTGTTTCCTAAACCAAAATAAAAGGTGTATTAAAAACAATAATAAATGAACCCTTGTTAAATTAATAATATGGGGATCCGTTCCTTTACACTGTACACGTCACTTAAAGATTTGTTCATTACTTTTTGACTGTGGACGGTGATTACAGAAACATTAATTAAAGATAATAGTATAAACCAGTCTAAATAGATCAACCAAAGATTGATTAAATGCAAATTATTTCATTGTATAACATAGTACTGATAGTTTGAACATGATAAACAATGGTCCACACTATGAATAATCAACAACACAATATTCTTTAAAACGTTACCATATTAAAAATTTAATATAACAATTAATGTAGTATAATATTTTACAAGAAAAAATACACCATTGAATCTCACCGTGTTATCTGTTTTTTTGTGGTCGGCACATCACTACCAATAATCTCTACTCCAGATGGACTGTTTGTGCATATGTTGCTAGATGTAGGTACTTGTCTAGATGGGCTGCTCAAGTTGATACATGTAGATGTACATGTAGGTACTGGTGATGTACAGGTACTGAAAGATTCTGTTGATTCATTCACAATTGGCAACGTAGAGGGAGTACAAGCTGTTGTTCTTGGAATTTCTTGGGAATCCGCACTTACAAATGCCTTTGTTATTTTTACTCTGATTATATTTAATTCTAAATTTATATCTTCATTTGAATCCAAGTCGATGTTCTCTCCTACATCATTGTCTAAAATTTGGAGATGTACATCATGATCATTCAAACCAAATTTTGATTGAACATTTTCTTGAATAAAATTTACATTTAAATCATTAGTCACAGATATTTTTTTGTCCTTTCACCATAATTTAATAACAAAAACTTCCGCTCCATGGTGCATTCAATTCAAATCAATGACCTGTAAATAAAAATATTTCAATTTAAATAAACATTATCATACATATATTTATACCATGTATACAATTTGTTAAAACATTATATACTAGTAAGTGCCTACACATTTATATTTGATAGATGCCAGAAACAGACTTAAGGTACAAGTTATGTTCAGTTTAAAAGTAAACAAAATGATTTCTATTTAAAGCCAATTTCGGCAGTCCTACAAAGAGTAAATATCTACTTTATAACTAAACTGGTTTTACTCGTGATCCGCTTTTAATCGGAAAACACTTTTAGATCAGTTTAAAACAAACATTAAAAAGCAAAAATATGCAAAAATAAATATAATTGTCCATGTTAAACTGTTGTAGTTTTTCACGTTAAAATACATCATTCGATTTCTGATGATGGGAGTTTTTAACGACCTTGACTGGCTATACAGCCCTCGCACGGTCGGCCCTGGCTTGCGCCTTTTTGGGCATTTAAATAATTTGTTTTTACCATAGGGTAATTGAATAATTTGAGTGATAAATATAGAATTTTTTTTAGAATAATCAAAAAAATAAATAATTTGATGAGTAAATGAATGAAATAGAACTTAAATAAAATAAAAGAACATAGAAATGAGAATTTAAAAAAAAAACAAAAAAAAAACGGAGCCACCAAAAGTAGGAATAGGAGGAAAGCTAAGCAAAGCAAACGGCAGTGACCGGCAGCAACGTTGTCCTGGTACACCAGCAGCCAAGTAAACAGCAGATAAATTTGTTTTTGCCAAATTTTGTATGTGAATTTAGTTGCCAAATATTTTGTATTAATCGAAATAGGCCTAAATATGTGTATGTGAATTTTGCAAAAATTATTAGTAAACGGTTTTGTATGTACAAAAAAAAAAGATAAATAAATAAAATAAAATAAAATAAATAAAAAAACCAAAGGATGTATGTATAATTTTGACTGCTTTGTGCTAGCCTACTTATAATGAGGACTTTATAGTGCTAGTACACTGGAACGCTGTCCGCAGGAAGACAAACGCCCCACGCTAATTAAAACTGGGTTAGCGCAAACCAGATCTTGCAAAGTACCATTTTTTAAGTCTTTGATTTGACGTGCGGCTTTAATAAATGAATGGTAGAATAAAAATTAAAAAAAAAAAGAAAGTCCAAAAAGTTAAACACAAAAATAACAAAAATAAATATTTTTGGGAGCCGCTAATTTGGAAAAAGAAAAAGCCAATGATGTGAGCGATTTTTAGTTCTTTGTTCAGTTAGCACATTCTAGCATTTTAGATTTTTATAACTTTAATAATATGAGAAAAAGACATACTACTACCTATAAAGAAACATATATCCTTAAACTGTCCTATACGATACACATTCACCGCGGGGGCTTACGATGAAATATGTATCGTCGCATTTTATATGCTATATTGACACCAAGCACTTCGGGCTATGGATGAACCAATATAACACGCCTACTACAATTTAATTAATAAACAATTTTGACAGGAGCCGAAACAGAAGTACCTATTGAACCCTTATCCGAAATTAGCCTTTAAACCGATTCGATACACACTTCACCGCGGGGGCTTACGATGAAATATGATTCGTCGCATTTTATATGCTATATTGACACCAAGCACTTCGGGCTACGGATGAACCAATATAACACGCCTATTACAAATTGATTTAAAGTATGTTTTAGAGAAAGTCCGAAATGATAATTTAACCCTTATAAGAATTTGCCCTTAAGTGGAACGGCATTTAGTTTATATAACCTTATGGTAGTCTATGTCTGTAATATACTGTATCAAACATGACCAGATATATTGTTGATTTTCTTTTGGAGGGTCTAGTAATATTTTTACATTTAGGTTTTGAGGGGTGACCTTATTTAAGTTTATTTGTAGTTTTTGTCTAGCTTTGGCGTGTTTACTACAGTCAATTAGTACGTGTTGTATATCCTCTTTGGTGCCACATGTGTTGCACATAGGTGATATATTTATGATGTATTGGCCTAGTTGACCTGGTAATAAAGTGGTACTCAGACTAAGCCTAGTTATTGTTTTTGTGTGGTAACGGTTACCTTTATAGAATATAGGTTTTTTGTTAACTGTAGTATTTACACAACGACTCCATGGGTATCCTGAGTTGTCCCACCTAGCTTGCCATTTTTTTCTTATATAATGCTGTTGTTATTGCTATGAATTCGTTTGCACTAAGGCTAATGTTTAGATCGATTTTATCTTTAGATAGTGCTAGTTTTTCTAGTTTGTCAACCTGTTCATTACCTAAGATACCAACATGCGCTGGTATCCATTCTATGGTGACTTCAATATTTTTCTGTTTGAGTCGGCAAACTAGTAATTGTATCGGTTCTAAGATGTCGGGTCTACTTGATGTACCATTTTAAATACATTGGATAGCGCTATACGAGTCAGTGAGTATAACTACTTTTTGTCCTGATTTTTGATTGAAAAATAACCACTTTAATGATTGGTAGATAGCCGTCATTTCTGTAGTGTACACTGAAAGATTGTCAGACGTGCGTTTATAACTTGCAATCAACTTTGATGGCATAAGAAAGGCGTATCCAGTTTTACCCGAGGCTGGGTCTTTTGAGCCATCGGTGTATATTTTTAAATGATTTTTATAAGCATTGTCAATGTACTCTAACGCTTTTGACTTAACAATATGAGGATTTTCTTTTTTACTGACGTTGTCTTTGATGTTACTGGATGTTGTTGCTTGACCTACAATCCATGGCGGAGGATCTTGAGATTTCTTTGTTACCAAATTTATTTTGTCTAAATCGTTATCTTTAATTAGATTTTGAACTATAAAACCGTATGGTATATTATGTTCATTCCATTTATGATTAAAAGATTAATATTCAATACAGTCATCTACTAATTGATTAGCTGGGTTTGTTGGATTTTGTTTAGTACGAGCATAATATTTAAGCGAAAGGTGGTCTCTTCTTAATTGTAATGGCATTTCGCCTGACTCAGCTAGTATTGTTTCTAGCGGGGTCGATTTATGAGCCCCTAGTACTATGCGAAGACCTTTAGTTTGTGTTGTATCTAGTTTAGATTTTACCGATAGTGAGGCAGAATTAAATGCTTGGCAGCCATAGTCCAGTATCGATCTAAGTAGTGAATTATATAGCATAAGTAGTGAATCAGTACCCATGCCAAAATTGTTTGCTTGAACATACCTGAGTAAGTTTAGTATAGCTTTGGATCTTTCTTGTAAATAGTTTACGTGTTTATTCCAAGTTAACTGTCTATCAAATATGAGACCAAGGAATTTGACGTGTTTCTGAAATTTGATAGGTTGGTTATCTAGCATTAGGTTAACGGAATAAATTTTACGATCCCCAAATATAACTCCTACTGTTTTTGTTTTAGAGATTTTAAAACCCCACTTTTTAGACCATGCACTAATGTTATTAAGTGTTTCTTGCATTTTATTAGTAAGATAGTAAGATATTTAATATTTCCACCTCTATACCACATGGCACTGTCATCGGCAAATTGTGACATTACTGCGGGTTTTTTAGCCAGACCTACTAAATCATTTATCATGATATTAAATAATGTGGGGCTGATGACACTACCTTGCGGAATACCATGAGATCGTAATCGTCTGAGGCGTCTTGATTTACTTTTACTTGTATTTTTCCATCTTGCAAGAAGTCTTTTATGAAGTTAAATAACCTACCATTTATACCATAATCTTTACACTTTTTTAATAAACCATAACGCCATACTAGATCAAATGCTTTTTCAATATCGAGAAATACGGCTAGTAGGAATTGTTTACGTACTTTGGCTTTTTTAATGTCGGTTTCGAGACGCAATAAGTGGTCAATTGTAGAGCGACCTTCACGAAACCCACTTTGTGTTTCTTTTATAATATTTTTTTTCCGTTAATAGATATTTAAGCCTAACATTGACAATGCTTTCCATTAGTTTGCAAAAATTTGATGTAAGAGAAATAGGTCTGTATGATTTAGGGTCAAACTTATTTTTATTAGGTTTTAGTATAGGGATTACATTTGCATGTTTCCAGCTGTGTGGTAGTTGACCAGTTACCCACACTTTATTGATTAATTGCAACACAATATCGATCATACTATCAGGCATATGTTTGAACATTTCGTATGTTATATGGTCATCACCGGGCGCTGTTGTCTTCTTGGTCTTAAGCACCTTATATAGCTCGTTTTTGTTGAATGGTATATTAAACTTTGACCTGTTGTGTTGTTCGTCGTCATCCCTATTAATTGGATTTTCTATTTCAGTTTTTAATTTATGTGTTCTGAACGTGGGGTCTAAATTATTATCACTGGAAGCTTCGGCAAAAGTTCCGGCTAGCATGTTAGCCTTATCTACATTTGATACCGCTTGTTTGGAGTCAGAAATAAGTGTCGGTAGGGTGGACGTTTTTGCTCCCTTGAGAACTTTAACCGTGTTCCAGAAAGTTTTACATTAGTTTTATAATTAAGTTTGTTACAGAAATTTTGCCAGTACTCGGTTTTTGCTTTATCAGTGATACGTTTAAACTCTTTAACTGCTGTTTTATAAAGTTCAAGATTTTGTTCTGATTTTGTTTTATCATAAACTCTGTGTTTATGACGCTTATTTTGTTTTGCATTTGTACAATCATTGTTCCACCAGGGACAGTTTTTTCTTGCATGAACTGTACCACTAGTTTTCGGGATTGTTTCGTCTGCGATTTTAGTAACAACTTCGCATAGAGTTTGGTTGAAAATTTCAATATCGTCATGGTGTATATTATCTATATTTATTTCGTTACAAAGAGTAGTGAACATGTGCCAATCGTCTTTATCGTAAATCCATCTTTGTGGAGCCGTGCAAACTTTATTTTTAACCGGTTTTGCATTTAAAACAGTGAGTACTGGGAAGTGATCTGAACCTAGTTTATCGTCTAAAACTGACCATTGGCTGTCATTGGCTAGTGAGGCGGAGACCAACGTTAGATCTATATGTGT